ACAATATATGTCACATTTGTATCATTCCTCACCCTTGGTTGGCATTATAATGTATTTATTGTCAGCTGTAAATAATGAAGTAAAGAAATATGTAGAGCTCTTAAATCATTCACTATACAATATATGTCACATTTGTATCATTCCTCACCCTTGGTTGGCATTATAATGTATTTATTGTCAGCTGTAAATAATGAAGTAAAGAAATAGGTGGAGCTCTTAAATCATTCACTCTACAATATATGTCACATTTGTATCATTCCTCACCCTTGGTTGGCATTATAATGTATTTATTGTCAGCTGTAAATAATGTAGTAAAGAAATATGTAGAATTATGTCCTGCTATGGATTCTCACATGTAGCTGAGACTAACATAAAACCGGTATATTTGGACCAATCGAGTACTAGATATATATATACATGTATATATATATAAGCACTAGTGCCAAAAGGGAAAGGACCAAAAGTTGTAATGGAACTTAACAAGAAATACCCCCTTTCCCCCCACCATTCAAGAATCAATATCACAATCCAAGACCAGAAGACCAAGGGACATTTCATTCATACTGAAGTCATTACAATACATGTTGAAGAAAAAATTAGAAATTGATAGCCAATTGAAAGCCAATACTCATAACCTCAAAAATTGTTGTAGATACAAGTACTCATACAAGATAGAGCATTCAGTCTCAAAATGAATACATAAGACATACATAAGACTTGTTTTGATAAATACCAGGTCGTTCAATAAGTTCGCGGGAATTTCGAAAAACAGTGCACTTTTAACCCAAACCGTTTATGTAACTTAAGTGAGGAATTAAATCGACAAATCTATTGTCTTCCGAGCTATTTTTTCCCAAACATGTACACTTTCTCAAACATATATGATACTGATACACGTTTGTGAGAAAAAAAACGTCGTGGGGATTCTACCTATAACGCGCCGTGAAATAAGGAAAAAATCGTACCTTCGACGTTCCGACATTTTGTTATCGAAACGAACCGTTTTGGTAACCAGCGTAATCGAGCAGATCACCAGTGAAACCATGGTAGATTTAATGTTACACTTCATCTGAAGATATTATTTCATGGTCTACTCGGAAGGAGCATATGGGGCCAATGGTATGTCTTAAGTGAAACGAATTGCCAAATCTAGGGGCTTGTGTAACGCAGAACTTGGTAGTTAAGCGCCTGTTCATTACCCCCATCATTTTGGCAACGCTTGTCAAGGTAACAATATTATTCATGTTTGGGCTGTTTATTCACTGAAGAGAGAAGAAAATAATCAAAGCTTCACCAGAGGAGTTCAATTACATCATCTTAATCTCAACTGTGATAGTCTATGGTATCTATAATGTTTATCTCCTGAACTAGAGTGTGATCGTTTGCTATTGTGGACGTGTCAGCTTCAGTATCGGCGTCACTATCCTGTATGCAGAACTTCTCGTGAAAAATGTCAAGGATTCATTTCATATTTAGAGCAGGTTCTCAATTTCAACTGGTCCTAGCTACCGAAGAGAGATTTCAAATTCATGGGAATTCTAGTCTTTTCGTCATTTTGAATTCTGCGATGCAAGATTTTATTTTTGGGATGGAAAGAATACATTTATAAGCCAATTAACACGTTGCTTACAATTTTGTCACCCCCATAGCTCTTACTCTGCCTTTACATTTTAATAATTCAAAGGAATATTTTCATGTCCTCCCAATATTGATTTTTAACATACCATGGGGTAAACTCCATCATTAACAGTTTGCCATTAAGTACATTAGGCTTGCTACTCTCCAATAGAATATTAGAGGAAGAATGATAATCAAATTGCATCCATCAATCATTCAAAGAAAGTAAATGGATTACAAATTTCATTAATGGCGTCTTATTGTTCAAAATGTAACATTGGCATTTTATGTGATAACTAGAGATCGAACGATCTAAGATTGCAAGCAATCTTACGGAGGCCCTATATTCGTTTCTGAACATTCAAAGGCCAGCCAAAGGTCAAATCTCTAATACAAGGTCATATATGAACTCCAGACAACTTGTAGATGATTTTTAAAAAAGGTTTGGTCGAATTAATGCAAGTTGAAATTTGACCTTGAAAAATTCCGAAATTTGACCTTTTTTCAGTTTTTGAGCTATAATATCTCAAAACTGGAGCCAAATTTTAATAAATAATCAATTGCTAATATGTGTAGAACCTTTAGTAGAGGAATATATATTCTGACTTATATTTCAAAATATTGATTTGTAGTCTCCAATTTTGAGAAACTTAGAAAACACAGTTTGTGATTTCGTTTGATGACCTTGACCTTTAACCTTGCAAATTTTACTTTTTTAGACCTCAGAAGGTCTTTTGTGAATAAATATACCTAAATTTGAATCCAGAAAATCGATTTGAAAAATCAACTTTTATGACCTTTCGGAGGTCACCGAAGGTCAACCAAAGGTCAAAGGTCAAAAGTAAGGTTAGATTTGGAATCCTGAAAAAATGAAAAAATATTGATTTGTAGTCTCCAATTTTGAGAAACTTAGAAAACACAGTTTGTGATTTAGTTTGATGACCTTGACCTTTGACCTTGCAAATTTTACTTTTTTGGTTCTCTTTTGTGATTAATTACACCTGAATTTGAATCCAGAAAATCGATTTGAAAAATCAACTTTTTGACCTTTCGGAGGTCACTAAAGGTCAACTAAAGGTCAACAAAAGGTCAAAAGTAAGGTAAGATTTGGAATCCTAAGAACTTGTAGATGAGTTTTAAAAAAAGTTTGGTCAATTTAGATCGAGTTGAAATCTGACCTTGAAAATTTTCGAAATTTTGACCTTTTTCAGTTTTTGAGCTCTTATATCTCAAAACTGGTGCAAAATTTTAATAGATAATCAAATGCTAATATGTGGAGAAAAAGTGGAGGAATATATATTTAGACTTTCATTAAACCTTATTGATTTGTAGTAACCAATTTTGAGAAACTTGGAAAACAATTTGTGATTTAATTCAATGACCTTGACCTTTGACCTTGCAAAATTTACTTTTTTGGACCTCTTCGGGTCTTTTGTGATTAAATGCACTTAAATTTGAATCCAGAAAATCGATTTGAAAAATCAACTTTTATGACCTTTCGGAGGTCACTGAAGGTCAACAAAAGGTCAAAGGTCAAAAGTAAGGTAAGATTTGGAATCCTGAGAACTTGTAGATGAGTTTTAAAAAAAGGTTTGGTCAATTTAGATCAAGTTGAAATTTGACCTTGAAAATTTTCGAAATTTGACCTTTTTCAGTTTTTGAGCTGTAATATCCTAAAACTGGTGCAAAATTTTAAAAGATAATCAATTGCTAATATGTGTAGAACCTTTAGAGGAATATATATTCAGACTTTCATCAAAAAATATTGATTTGTAGTCACCAATTTTGAGAAACTTGGAAAACACAGTTTGTGATTTAATTCAATGACCTTGACCTTTGACCTTGCAAATTTTACTTTTTTGGATCTCTTGGGGTCTTTTGTGATTGAATGCACCTAAATTTGAATCCAGAAAATCAATTTGAAAAATCAGCTTTTTTGACCTTTCGAAGGTCACTGAAGGTCAACTAAAGGTCATAGGTCAAAACTAAGGTCAGATTTGAGTTCCTGAGATCTTGTAGATGCTTTTTAAAAGAAAGTTTGGTCAATTAAGAGCAAGTTGAAATTTGACCTTGAAAAATTTCGAAATTTGACCTTTTTTCAGTTTTTGAGTTCTAATATCTCAAAACTGGAGCAAAATTTTAATAAATAGTCAACTGCTAATATGTGTAGAACCTTTAGAGGAATATATATTCTGACTTTCAGTAAAAAAAATTGATTTGTATTCTCCAATTTTGAGAAACTTAAAAAACACAGTTTGTGATTTCGTTTGATGACCTTGACCTTTGACCTTGCAAATTTTACTTTTTTGGATCTCTTGGGGTCTTTTGTGATTAAATGCACCTAAATTTGAATCCAGAAAATTGATTTGAAAAATCAACTTTTTTGACCTTTCGGAGGTCACTGAAGGTCAACAAAAGGTCAAAGGTCAAAAGTAAGGTCAGATGTGGAATCCTGAGAACTTGAAAACCTTTTTTTGACCTTCAATATCTCAAAATCTAGGCAAAATTTCCCTAGACGGCAAAAGGCTTAGACTAATAGAATACTAATATCTATCTGTATGCAAAAATTCAGCCAAAAATATTGAAGTGTAGTGTCAGGATTTGAGAAACTTGAAAAAACTTAGATTTGACCTAGATTTTGACCTTTGACCTTGACCTAGATATGAACTAATTTCCCGACAAGTCCAGCCCAGGTCCCAAATAGGACTATATCTGAGATAAGTCAAAGCTAGCTGGAAGTTGGAGAAAAAATGCTAAAAAGAATAATAAATAAAGAAGAATAACTACAAAAATGATAGGAGGCCCCTTGAAGGGCCTCCTAATAAAAAGAAATCGTGTTTAATGAATGATTAATAGTGGATGTCTATCTATTAAAGCAGTTCCTATTATGATTCAGCTGTTAAATCAGTTTTTTTACTTGGCAGTTGGTCAATTAAATAAGGATTGCTATTTATATCTGGACAAAATTGGAATTAAACCGTATGTTGGACTAAATAAACATTCAGAAAATGTAAGTTGGAAACAAAGAACAAAATAGTAAAATATTGCCACTATCAATTTAAGGAGTAATTTGAAAAACTACATTTACTAAATAGGTCTACAATGAGGTATGTTGTCATTTTCATGTTAAGTAATTTGTCACTTACCAACGGATATTTTGAAATTCCAAATGGACTCTCCACCAAAACATTCAACCAAGATGGTGATTTACTGTTAGCAGCACCATTTAGTATATCAGGCCCAGGTTATGGTAGAGAATCACTTTGCAGTGATTCATTTTACTACATTGTATCAATGCAGTATGTAGAAGCAGTTGCTTTTGCAGTGAATACGATTAATGAAAGGAGTGATATTTTGCCAAATGTCACTTTGGGATTCAATGTATTTGATATATGTTTACGGACATCTGCCAGTCTAGCAGGAATGCTTCATTTCATACCAATGCTTGAAGAATCAAAGAATTGCAAGGGCATCCCACAAGATGTGAAATCACGGTTCAAAGAAACTATTGGGCTGGTGACACAGATTGGAAGCCAAAGAAATCAACTGATAGCTAACTTTTTAAACATTTTCTCAATTCCCCAGATTGCATCTGTGTCTACAAGTGATCTACTCAGCAACAAGGATGACTATCCATACTTCAGTAGGGTGGTACCACCAGATAGGTTCCAAGCCCAAACTATGGTCGACTTAATGTTACACTTCAATTGGAGCTATTATTCCATGGTCTACTCGGAAGGAGTATACGGAGCCAATGGTATGTCTCAAGTGAAGCGAATTGCCAAATCTAGGGGCTTGTGCAACGCATTTCTTGGCAGTGTCCCCTTTGATCTGGGCGACGAATCGATATATATTGAAATAATACAAAACTTGAGGCGTAATAAAAAGGCGAAAGTAGTTGTTTTGTTCTTAGAACCTATACACATTGAGAAACTTTTGGCCACAATTGATAAATATAACGCTGCAAGAGAATTCATATGGATTGGGTCAGACACATTCGAAGAACCAGATGTGGAAAATATTCCCAAGACCCTGCATGGAGCCTTTTCAGTGCAACTTACATCCAAATATGACAAAGCCTTCATACAACATTATCGAACCCTGACTCCTTGGAATAATCCAAATAACCCCTGGTTTTCTGAATATTGGACACTGGCATTCAATTGCACATGGGAAACTAACAACACTAACCTCAGACCACCATGTGACACGTTTAAATCTCTCACAGAGTCAAAGAAGCATAAGGAATCTCCTTGGATTTCCCTGCTCTTGGATACAGTGTATGCATTTGGATATGCACTGGACAATCTTATCCAGGAGAATTGTCAGAATCACGTTGCTGACAAAAAGGCAATGTTAAGTTGTGTTCAAAATGCTGGCCTCACTTCATATATTCGACAGGTGCAATTTGAAGGTAGCTCTGGTCCAATATCATTTGATGAAAACGGTGATGCTTTTGGAGGCTACACAATCAAACATTTTATACCAACTGATTCAGGTTATGCTTCAATTCAAGTTGGTTCATGGAATCGGTCATCTGAATCGCTCAAGCTTAACGAAAGTGACTTGTACTGGAATACTAATGACACTATACCAGTGTCCAAATGCAGTGAAGAATGCAACGTGGGAGAAATCAGAATTCAACTTGAACTGCCCTGTTGCTGGGACTGCTTTAAATGCCATGCTAATGATATTGTCATCAATGGGTCAGTGTGCATAAAATGTCCAATGTTTACATGGCCGGATGAAAGCACTGCTACAGATTGTGAACTCATAGAGCCAGACTTTATCAATTTACTATCTGATTCTTTGTTCCTTTCCCTCTTCATTTTGACAATGCTTGGATTGGTAACAATATTATTCATGCTTGGACTGTTTATTCACTGGAGAGGGGAGAAAATCATAAGAGCTTCATCAAGAGAGTTTAATTACTTCCTTCTTATCGCAACTGTAATAGTCTATGGCATCAGTTATGTTTATCTCCTAAACCCGAGTGTGATCGTTTGTTATTGTGGACGTGTCGGCTTTAGTATTGGTTTCACCATCCTGTATGCACCGCTCCTTTTGAAAGTAGCCAGGATATATTGCATATTTAAAGCAGGTTCTAAATTTCAACTGGAGCTACCTAAGTGGATAGAAGCCATGAGTTCTCTGATGATAACAATGGCATTGATAGCAATACAGGTGAGCTTCACTTCTGTCATTTGGTGTTTTCCCATGGCAAGGACAATTAGTCCTCTTTCAAATAAATATATTTTTAGAAAAAAAGAATTGCCATCATTCATTGATGTCCAATAAATTTGTAATTAATTTTTGATTTTAGATTGGTATTACAATTGCTGTGTTAGTGACTGCTCCTCCGAATGTGACAAAGAAAATGCCAGTTGAAAGCGAGAAGTATGTTGAACTCAGCTGTGACTTTCCAGTTTGGAGTATGATTGTTTCAATTATATTCAACTTGTTACTGGTCTTAGCTACAGCGACATTGGCTTTTCTCACCAGGAAACTACCAGATAATTTTAATGAAACAATGCATATCTTGTTATCTGTGTGTGCAACTTTATTTTTGTGGCTGTCATTCATCCCTACTTATTTTATAACTGATCGAGCAAAGCACCAACAAATGTTGTTCTCTGTGATGTTTTTATTAACAGGGGCAGTGTCAATTATGTGTTTGTTTGCACCACGCATATACGCTGTTATATTCGTAGATGAAAGTAAGATAACATTCTCCTCCACATTTGCTTTTAAACAGCAGATAGAAACATCCGAAAGAGATAATGGGCAATCTTCAACAATCTCATCCGGTCCAGTGGAAAGTGTTAACATGTCAAAGTTGTAACTTTTGATTTGATGGCTGGTTACTACTATGACGATTCCAACAAACATGCAGTTACAAACATGGTTATATTTATTGAATGTGGCCCTTCAGAGTAGCCGTAGCATTGTTTGACCATATTATTATCCAAAAATCATTTGCGAGTGTATTTGAAGATATCACTTGACTTAAATATATTATTGTCAGGGATTGCTTGTTTTAGTCATGTGACCATATTATCATTCAAAAAGCAAGGCAATGACTGGCTACATTCAGACATTGGTCATGTGAGATTGGATGCTATTTTTGTCACAGAACCAGCCCAACACATACTATTTTGAGAAATCATTTTGGGAAAAGACTACACATGTAAATTATGTAATACGAGTACTAAGTATGCTTATTACAAAGCATAAAGAAGTTGCTTAGCCATTTACAAATCAATTTGTTCAAAAAGATTGAATTATAACAGACAAAGAGGCATTTTGAACAGGAGATAATGTATTGGAAATTTTGCAAAATGAACATATGGTGAAATAAATATTAGAAACAAATGAGAATATGTGAAGGAATTATTACAATTATTATTATTAAAAGTTTAAAGTATTTATTTTAGTCAATTTAAATTATTAATATACAAAGAAGATTGGAGAGAACATAGCCACTCATTAGTGCAATTATTTTATTTTGATATAAAATTATAATGATAATAATATCAATAAGCAAGTTGCATATAGGGAAAGAAAGTGGTCAAAGAAAGTTGTTTTGTGGGGTGATCGCTATACTTAGTCTACTTCAAATACCCGATCCGCGTCAGAGCTGTGCTTAGAACGGGAGATTTGCAATTTCGCGTTGGTGTCAACGGGAATCATTAAACTCATGTCTATTGAATACTATGCTAGCTATTTATCTTGATGCACAATATGATGCTTTCTGAAAAATGGTGTGTGTCATAAATGTTTTAGCTCTAAATTCCTTCGTAAACGAGCTTGTTTAATACCATAAAAAACTAGCTATATAACCATCAATGGCATATTACACGATGATGTGTAGTCTGTGCAACGGACTGAGTAAACAATTTAACTGAACGATTATTTATGTGAGAAAACTACATGCATTTGTATAGGGCAACTTTTACGTACAGGTTCACGTTTCGAATCCCTAATCGTAAGGATTTATCGGCAGAACGAGGAAATTTTCGTTTTTAATCGCAAAATTCCTCCATCTAGACTCAAGGAGTTTGGCTCTAAGAATGCCATTTGGTATCTTAGGGGATTCCCCTTCCCACATCTTGAAAAGTGCTGAAATATTTCCCGGTGTAAAATGAAAATCTCTTCGATCTGCCAATAAAACTATGCAATTGGTGGTTCAACTATATAAAAAGAATTGTAAATTACTAAGGAATGTATTGAGGTAGATATTTTTGATGAGGTCGTGGATTACACAGCAAAAAATGTGAATCAAACCACTGAATCCTGGAGTCAGGATTCATACAGGATTCATATGCACATATGAATCCTGTATGAATCCTGCCTCCAGGATTCATACAGGATTCGCTGTTTAAATAGTTTACAAATGAATCCTGCCTTCAGGAATCATACAGGATTCATATGCAATATAGTTTACAAATGAATCCAGCCTTCAGGATTCGTACAGGATTCATATAGAAGGTAGTTTGCAAATGAATCCTGCCTTCAGGAATCATACAGGATTCATATGCAATATAGTTTACAAATGAATCCAGCCTTCGGGATTCGTACAGGATTCATATAGAAGGTAGTTTGCAAATGAATCCTGCCTTCAGGAATCATACAGGATTCATATGCAATATAGTTTACAAATGAATCCAGCCTTCAGGATTCGTACAGGATTCATATAGAAGGTAGTTTGCAAATGAATCCTGTAGCCAGGATTCAAGCAGGATTCATATGCAATATAGTTTACAAATGAATCCAGCCTTCAGGAATCATACAGGAATCAAACGAAAATTGGAATTGATGTGTATGTTTCTATTCTAACACTCACATTGGCGTATCGCATATATTACGCCAAATGCGCACAGGCGTACCAAATGAATTCGAAAAATTTAATAAAAATGTGTAATTATTTAAAAGTTGTTCTGTGTGCTAATTTAAAATACATTGTTTTATTTATATTGTCTTCCCCGAATGGGTATATAAACTTTAAATATACATGTAGCCATGTTTATTGAAAAAAGGACATTGGTTTTATTCGGTCCGTTTTATTCTTATTGGTATTAACTCGCAAATGTCACTACTGGAAATGGTTTTGTGTGGCCATGGCAGGGCAAGAAGGGCCCCCGAGGGTCAAAAGGGGCCGTTCTGTAAGATAACTTCTTCGGACGGGAGGTTTTTTACCACAGACTTACAGAAGTGGTGCCGTTAAAAGAGTTTCTTCTTGGAGAAGGTGCCGCCTAAATGAAACAAAGTGCAATGGCCATTGAGATCGATGCTGTCCCTGTCAGGAGATAATATCAGGCGATGTATATTTGATGATAAACAAACTTGGTGGGCCATCTTGCCCAATGGTTCTTCTTATCCTGGGTCTCTTACTCCGCTCCTACGCCCATTTCTCATTTCTTAATGCTAATATAGAATGCGTCACGTGTTATGAAAGATTAGTAGGCCTCAATATTACAATTTGAACCCGATTTTGAAGCATCCTTCAAGATCGGTCCTTCACTGCTTTCATAGCAGCTCATGAATGTCACAATGCAATGAATTACTCTTGGGCCGCAGGGATGATTTTGAAGCACCCCTGTAAGCCTTTAAATTACATTGAAATGATAGGCCCTAGGATACAGTACTGCTTTTGCCGAGAGTCACATCGGCATGTTCCGATCGGCGCTCCGATCGGTGTAGTGTCGGCAGTTTGGTCGGCACACCGGTCGGCACTCCGATAGGCATCGCCATCGGGATAGTTCTGCCGATCGGCAAAGTCATCGGGACGGCATTCCCGTCGGCACAGTATACATCAATGCATCGGAGGATCGAAAAAAACATCGATAAACTCATAATGATATTTCTTGAGAGTTAGATTATTAGTTAGAAAGTTATATTCTTGAAACATATTCAATAAAAATAAGTTTATATTGAGAACTAGTTTTAGTAAATAATAACTATTGCCGTCTTAAAAATATAGAAATCCTTTTATAGAGCATTCTGTATAATCTATAAAATAATCTTTCAGACGGGCAAATCACAATGAGGACAAATGATTATTTAGTAAGATAAGTCTGCAATTATGTCTGTATACGTAGATTGTACGTTGAAGTTGGACCGTCGATGATTTTGATTGCGACATTGCGTGCACCTCTCAAACAAATAAGTCAAAGACAAATATATTTGAAATGTTTCCAGGATTGTTATTCGTTTGTTGTAATGCAGATTGACTGATAGACCATTGTAATGGGTTGTGCTTGGGATTCACACAATTATTCTATGATCATCTCAGGATATATTATATTTGATTTGAAATGCGGATGTTTACATTAAAGATCTTGTTTTCATTTCGTTAAAACAAAACTATTAGATTAGATATTAGCGTACCTCAATGGAAAAGAATCAAAAGATACCCCAATTTAACGCGCAGCATGATAATTTGTCATTTTGGAAATTCGTCAATATGACTAAACTACATGTAGCCCCCCGGAACTAGCCTTTCCAGTAAAACAAATGCGACAGATATCCAAAGAAAGCTACATTTTATTCTTGATTTCTCGGAATAATTGAAATGATAAACATATATAAATTGCAACTATTATTATTTTGCTCTCCAATTATGATTCAACGCCTTCCCTAAATTTTCTATCAGATCATCGATCCAAGACTTCAGCAAATATTTCAATCATATTTTGCGTTTTATCATCTTTTCCAAATGCTATACGCATATGGTACTACAACCACTTACTGACAGTGCTTTATCGTTATTTTTCCAAATATGGATGTTTACACTGCTTGTATCTTATTCTAGGGGGTTTTATATATCCTCACAATGTAATTATATATTTTTCTGTTTTGTAGGTTCCCGTGGGTAAGATACACACATGAACAATACGGCCCATCCTAAAGGGCACAGACCCGTCAGTGGCGTTCTTCAAGTATAGCCCGTGGAGATAGTTTTTGAATCTTGCCTCAAGTGGTGTGTTAATCCCATATTGGGCTTGAGAAAGGGGTATACACAGCTGCTCGATACAAGTGCAAACTATGAAATAATACCCATACATGCATAATATAACAATAGATAAATGTTTGGCATGCATTGCGTTTCTGTTTAATTGTTAAATTATTTCATAATTTATAATAAGCAGATAAGTTGCTTTTTAGGTATTTAGCGACATTAAGGACTGAGAACCCAGAGTCACACATTTCCTCGGATATTCCTCCATATTAAGCAGATATACCTGTTTGCATGTTTTAATTTTAATTTGATTTGATTGTTTGAATTGCATGAATTGATAAAGTCTTTCAAATGTCACCAGTCTTTGGGGGGGGGGGGGTGAGATTTCCTGTAGGAATTAAAATTAAAATAAGATTTATTACGATCTGTTTTGTTTGCATCATTGTATAACGTTGATAAAAGACAAGGGCAGCATTGGAATTACAAAATTGTGCGATTCCCTACCTCCCATTCATAGATTTAGTCTCTGGTCATGGTATTCAAAATTATATTTGTTCTGTCATTCTGATTTCCCGTGTCGGGACATTCTGATCTATCGGAGTCTCACTTTATCTAACCCTTTGATATGCCAAAGGATACTTGCTGTAGATCACACAATGGTGTCGGGAGATTAAACCAGTCAATGTTCCGATCGTCGCAATATTCGATACATCGAAAGATTTCACGGATTCATACAATTCCATGCATACTGTATATTCAGCACAGTATGCATGTACATTCCATATATCCTTCCAATAATAATTGCTGCATGTACATGAACTGGTGAAACCTCTCGGTGCATCGAATGTTGTGACGATCGGAACATTTTACTGGTTTAATCGGCACTGGAAATCAGAATGACAGGGGAATCGGGGACAAAATGATTTTTATAAGAGATACAATTTTGAATGT